CCCAAAACGATCTGTCGAACATTCGTGGAGTGAAGAACCTACTTAAAACACCCAAAGTTTCAAAATCTCCCGAGAACGATTTGTCGGACGTTCGTGGAGTAAAGAAACTGCTTCAAACTCCTAAAGTACAAAAATCTCCCAAGAACGATCTGTCGAACATTGGTGGAGTGAGGAAGTTACTCAAAACACCCAAACTCCCAAAATCTCCCAAGAACGATCTGTCGGACATTCGTGGAGTGAAGAAGCTACTGAAAACACCCGAAGTTCCAAAATCTCCCGAGAACGATTTGTCGGACGTTCGTGGAGTAAAGAAACTGCTTCAAACTCCTAAAGTACAAAAATCTCCCAAGAACGATCTGTCGAACATTGGTGGAGTGAAGAACTTACTCAAAACACCCAAAGTCCCAAAATCCCCCAAAAACGATCTGACCGACATTCGTGGGGTAAAGAAACTGCTTCGAACGCCCAAAGTACGAAAATCTCCCAAGAATGATCTTAGCAACATCGTCCCGTTGAAAATGTTAATGTCTACTCCAAAACCGCTAAAAGAACATATTAACGATTTATCTAATGTGTCTGGGGTTAAAGACCTGTTCATTGAAAAACAAGAAGAACTATTTGATTCTCTGTTCAACAAGAAACCGGTAAGAAAGTACAGCGGCAGACTTTCTACATCCAGAACTGAAGAGCAATTGGGAGATCAAGATGACGTGGATGTTTCTGACAAAAATGAAAAGGTTGAGCAATGGGTGAATCAACAGGACTTTAATGTCGAGGATTCGGAAACCCTCAATGAAGTTAGAAAAACTCCAAAAACTCAGAAAAACAACCCTGAGAAGGTTGGGGAAACTGTTGATGTTAGTCTTCAGAAGACAAGACCTAAGAGAGGACAGAACAAAACCAATGAAAATGCTTGTTCAGCCGATATTCTACAAGAACCTGAACAGAAAACACGAGGTAAGAAGAGGAAAGTTGCAGAACCAGCCAAAGTAGAAGTCGAAAGTATTAGCAACAATATTGAAGATAAAGCAATAAAGACTAGACGAAATGAGAAAGCTGAAGTTGAAGTAACTGTCGAAAAAGACGCGACCAAAGACGTTCAAGAAGTTGCCGCGAAACCAGTTGGCAGGCCAAGACGAAATAAGAAAACCGAACTTGAAGAAACTGTCGAAAAAGATAAAGCAATAAAGACTAGACGAAATGAGAAAACTGAAGTTGAAGTAACTGTCGAAAAAAACACGACCAAAGACGTTCAAGAAGTTGCCGCGAAACCAATTGGCAGGCCAAGACGAAATAAGAAAACCGAACTTGAAGAAACTGTCGAAAAAGACAGTGACAAAAACATTCACGACAAAGCTGTGAAACCAGCTGGCAGGCTAAGGCGGAATAAGAAAACCGAACTTGAAGAAACTGACGAAAAAGACAGTGACAAAAATGTTCAAGACAAAGCTGTGAAACCAGCTGGCAGGCTAAGGCGGAATAAGAAAACCGATATTGAAGAAACTGTCGAAAAAGACACTAGCAAAGACATTGAATGCAATGCAGTAAAACCAGCTGGCAGGCGGAATAATAAAACAGTTGAAGAAAGCGTCGAGGAAGACAGTGAGAGAGACATTCAAAACAAAGTAGTGAAGACAGCTAGCAGGCCAAGAAGAAACTTGAAAACCAAAATTGAAAAAAGTGTTACTTCAGGCGCGAGCAAAACGAATGTAGATGAATCAGTGAAACCAATCAGCAGATCCAAGCGAAATGAGAAGGCTGAAAATGGAGAAAGTATTAAGAACATTAACAAAAGGACCGAATATGAAACTGCCAGCAGATCAGGAGATAACAAAGAAAAGAAGATCGAGAAAAATGACTCTGAAGATAAACCTATGAGAATTACAAGAGGTAAAAAAAAGTTGTTAACCCTAGCCTTAACGACGAAACCACAAGCAGAAGACCGAAAAAAGATCAAACTGTTGAATCTGTGAAAGTTACTAAAGGTAGACAGAAAAAGGCTACACTCAATGAGGAAGATGTTGAAGAAGAGAAAGATCCTACCTATTTTAGGAGACATGTGTTCATGGAGGTAGCTGAATCAAATGAAGCTACTACGCCTGTTCAGCACCGGCGATTAAAAAATAAGAAAGTAAAGGAGATTGAAGGTAAATTCTAGAATCATATCAAAATAGTTAAATATACAAGAATCAAACCAAGCGAATAACCAAAATGTCTGTGTTATGTGCCGCGGTTATAATATGGTTCACGGGTTGATGACGTCAGTTACACGAATCGCTTGAACGCGTCGGTTTTAACCACGGTTTTGTTGCAAGTTGTTTATTTTAAAAAAGCGCGTATATAATCTCCGATTATTTTTATTATCACTTAATAATCGGTGCTTTTTCGTCTACAACTGTGTATGGAAAGTTTAAACAAGAAACCTTTCATAATATTCATGGGAGAAATGTTTTCTTTTTCAGATTTTTTTTTTAATGATGGAACCATGGCTTTGTAGCTATGATAACTTTCAATTCTCTAAAGTTTTCCGCATGTCAAAGAAAATATTTATTGATTCAGCAGAAATGATGAAAAAAGATATTAGCAAAACTGAATACAGGTGGACATCATCTAGTGAGTTTATATGGCCATATTTTAATATTCTTGTGGTATATGGCTACACAGGATAGGTACTTTGTTAAGCATAGGAACTACATTTAAAGTGTCCCCAATAACAGTGATGAGTATAACTAAAAAGGTGCTCCACTTTATGGTAAAACTGAAGTCAGCCTGTATCAAGCTTCCCAAAAATGAAGCTGAAGTACAATAACAATATACAATACCCGGCAAAATTCTAACTTGTCACACTTCAAATAATAACCAGAAATATAAAACTACTCTTGAGTTGGGTAAATACCACAATTTTGCGGTGATAACTATGACATATAACAGCTGATTCGTGACGTCACGGATCTTATAACCAAACTGATAACTACACTCGCTTGAACGGATCGGTAAATACCAACCCAAAATGGTAAATACCATTTCCATTTGGTTATTCGCTTGAATTTGATTAAGGTTATTCCAAAATCTACGAATGGTCAAATATCTTGGGAAGTTCCAAGTTTGTGATTCATTTTAATTTTTAGATGGGATAACCATAGTTGGTTATATTACTATCTCCAATATTCTGTTGACATGAAATATATGGAGCTTGTAAACATGAACATTTTGGATCATACTGCCCAGATCTACAGGGTGTCCCAACAAAAATGGAAAGCGGTTTACGAGCAAACTGGAAAAGATTTCAAAAATCTGTTTTCTTTATAACATGGATATGTTACCAGTGCATATTTTAAAATCAATTTAATTTATACGGGGTGTTCCATAGCATGTATTGCCTAAATAGAATACACTATCTTTTATTGCATATTTCGATTAATAATTGTTTAAATATTTAGTGAAATGTCTGAAAAAAATCCCAAATTTAAATTTTAGCTCACAAAAATTTTATCATCGATTTTAAGCTGATCTGAAAGAAATGCTAAAATATCTTTCTTTTTCCTCAGGGCATCTCAAAACGTAAAATGTGCCTTTTCTTATAAATTTCAAATGTATATTTGTACATCATTAAATCGCCTTCCTTGAGATTTTTTTTTTATATAAGGTTTATGCCACTTTTTCGAACAGTTTTCGACTTATTGATATTCATTCAAAAAAACATCCAAAAATACGGCTTGTCAATTACCCAATTCTTGCGCTCTTTTTATCTTATTGATGCGTAACCAACGAACAGCCATTGAATAGCTTAATTTTGTATTTTGAAATTTAACTTAATTTGCAGAAGAAGAACCGAAAAGATCAAGAAGGGCAAAAGGCGATTACGAGAAATACGGAGAGGAGTTTGTATCGGAAAGTCCTTTAACCGCAAAACGACGACGCAAGAAATAGAAATAAGATCTGACATTATTTTTATTTGTTTTAATGTAAATATGTCTTGCGTTTTTATTCGTATAGTTTATTTTTTATAAATGCAATGTTTTAATAACGAATTCCTTTAGTGTTTGTACAAACATGATCTTAAATTCCATTCCACCTTTTAATGTGACTTCAAGAATTACACGGTGAGTTGACAAGACAGTAAAACAAATCATCATAAACGTTCAACTCTAATCGAGGTAAATGGTAATATTAAAAGCTTTTAATCATTCTTTATTGAACACAACCACTGCATAACATATATCCTTATCTATATTTACAGATTCTAGTCCATGATTCTATGGCTTCCGTCTATTTAAGGTACATTAGCGAATTCACAATATTCATTGGATAAAATCATACTTTGGGTAAAATATATACAGGATAGGTTTTCCGTGTGTAATAGCTCAATAACTCCATTATTTTCAAAAATAATTAATCAGTTATTATATACAGGGTGATTTATTACTTTTTTAAATGGAATGCTACTTTTTTATAGTATATTCTACAAAAAGTTTAGCGCTTGGATCGCTGCTTCTGGAGCTACACGATATTTTATGCAAAAAACAACTAACTTTGACAACTTGTAACTCAGACACTTTTTAAGGTAGTGTAACAAACAAAACGTTTCAAATTTGTATATCTATACAAAATATATTAAAATATCCAGGACATTTAAAAATGTGATGCACTGCAATTCTTTGTAGAGATCGGCATATTTCCCAGATAAGGAGCTATCACTTATGTGAATAACATTTTTGGGTTATCTTTTGTGATAATGAAGCTATTGACCAATTACATAAAATGCAGCTTGTCTGTGGCTTGACCAGCATGACTATTTTCACATGACAGTCAAAGAAAATGTAAAATACAAGGGATGTCTTTTAAGTTTTGCATATAGAAACATAGTAGGCCGCGCGGATCGAATGTCAGTACTGAATCTTAACCTCACTCTTTAGTAAACTTAAGTTCAAAGTTTCACAACAATACGTGCAGCATTCTCACTACAGTGAATTTTCAAGTGTCACCAAGTCATTAGAAAAATGGAACTCAACCGAGAACATTTTCGCGCCATAATTTATTACAATTTTCAGAGACATTTATCGCAACAAGAATGCCTTGCTGAGCTACTGTCTGTTTTCGGCAACGAAGCGCCACATCAGTCGACAATTTCCCGTTGCTATGGAGAATTCAAACGTGGACGGGCGAGTCTTAGCGACGATCCCAGTGTGGGTGCACCAAAGGTCACCCAGGAAAACGTCGATGCTGTGCGCAAACTCATCATTGAAGATAGACATATGACATGTCGGACGATTAAGGCGTCCTTGAAGATCTCAAAGACCTCAATTCAAAAAATGTTACATGAAGAATTAGGAGTAGGAGAATTAGTTTCTCGTTGGATACCCCACCTGTTGACTGAAGAGCAGAAAGCAGCCAGGGTTAATTGGTATCAAAAAACGCTTGACCGTTTCAATTCCGCAAACTCAAAAAATGTGTACAGCATTGTTAGTGGTGATGAATCGTGGATGCACAATGCAAGCTCGCACACAGCCCAAAAAACAAGGCAGTATTTAACGGAAGAAAACGTGGAATTATTGGACCATTCTCCATATAGTCCCGATCTAAGTCCTAAGGATTTCTTTACTTTCCTGAAAATTAAAAACAGACTGAGTGGTCAAGGTTTCCAGTCTCCAGAAGAAGCAGTTGACGCATTCAAACATGCCGTTTTGGATCTGCCAGCAAACGAGTGGAATGATTGGTTCGAGCGCATGCATTTGTGTATTAATCTTCATGGAGAATACTTCAAAAAACAATAAAGTCATTTAAAACTACCTACCGTGTTGTTTTATTTCCATATGCAAAACTTAAAAGACATCCATCGTACAATTTTTCTTAAAACACCCAAAGTTTCAAAATCTCCCGAGAACGATTTGTCGGACGTTCGTGGAGTAAAGAAACTGCTTCAAACTCCTAGAGTACAAAAGTCTCCCAAGAATGATCTGTCGAACATTGGTGGAGTGAAGAAGTTACTCAAAACACCCAAGGTCCCAAAATCCCCCAAGAACGATCTGTCGAACATTGGTGGAGTGAAGAAGTTACTCAAAACACCCAAACTCCCAAAATCTCCCAAGAACGATCTGTCCGACATTCGTGGGGTAAAGAAACTGCTTCGAACGCCTAAAGTACAAAAATCTCCCATGAACGATCTGTCGGACATTCGTGGAGTGAAGAAGCTACTTAAAACACCCGAAGTTCCAAAATCTCCCGAGATAAATTCTTTTTTTTTTTTTTTTTTTGGCACTAGGACATTGCCCCATTAGCCAGAATCAAGTATTTATCTATTATATCATACACACATATATAATTTAAGACGTGTAAAATGGCAATGACGTAGCAAGCAGATCCCCTCAGCTATCAGGGTATTGCAGGAAAGACATTTTGGTGACACAGTCGTATTTGGGCGAAGGAGCAAGTACTTAACAAACAGTAGGGATAAATTGATTATTAAATTTCTTCTAATGCACACTCTCCACTCTGGATGAAAAACAAAAAAGTAAATATAGAAGAACTAAGAAAGTGTTATCAGGAGGGGGCGGGGGTTAAGCATTACACACAAATTTTCAGATGACATTAGTGTCTAAAGAACACCATAACTACATATTAAACCTATGCAACTCTAAGGGGTAGGAGAGAGGATGGGTCAGACAGGGACACACGTTCTTCTCGCCCAGGGACCCGTCAGGGCATTTTTCATTTTTCACATACAACAATTAGGCCACGGATATGAAGGATATATTTATACATAAAGGTACAAAAAACAGAGGATAACTAAAATACGATTGTTATATTTTGATGCCAGAATTTTTGATAAATTTAACAACGAGAATGATCACATCAGATCTACCTAGCGAAAATACATGAGATGTATTTAGGGGGGCAGATATGCCAGATTTCACCAAATCGGAGTAGAGTGCATTGCAGTGATCCAGGAATTTAGCGCAACCAAAGAAACAGTGATCCAAGTCACCATAAACTTCACAAACATCGCACAGTGCAGATGGGACCAAATTTAATCTTGCAAGGTGTGAAGGAAAAACACCATGTCCTATTTTCGCACGGGTGATGCAAGAAATATATTTTCTGGGTATTTTGAAATTTTCGTGCCAGTATCCTCGTGGCAGGCTAGGGTGTATGAGGTTGTATCTTGTAGGATTAGTAAAACAGTATTCTATCCATTCACTGCGCCATCGCTTGAGCAAATTACCTTTAAGTATCACTCGATTGTCTTGCACGCTTAAGGGTATGTCCAGCTTAGTTCCAGATGTTATACTCATCTTTGCTAGATCGTCAGCTTTTTCGTTGTGTATTATCCCAGAGTGGGCCTTCACCCAAACTAGTGTAATCCTGAGGCCTCGTTGTTTTAGCTGACTTATTTTCCATCTTATGTTGAATAAGTGTATATTTTGCATATCGAAAGGACTGCCGTTTTTTAAACTACTGACAACAGAGAGGGAGTCCGAGAATATAGACGTGTTACCAAGATTGTGGTCCTCTACAAACTGTAGGGCTTGGAATATAGCAATAGCTTCTGCAGAAAAAATCGTGAACTCATTTGGTAGTTTAAACATGGAAAAAATATCTATTGAAGGAATATAATGAGCGCATCCCGTTCCTGACGCCGACTTCGATGCATCGGTGTAAATGAATGCATCACCTGCTAATTTACTCTGCACTTCTCGAAGTAGGTTCTGAATGTGGTGTGGTTGTTGCTTGTAAGCTGGTACTCTAACATCAAATCCTGATAGTAAATGAAAGTAGCTTATATCTTGGATCAATCATTGGCTATGAGAGGTTGGTTGTATTGTGTTGGCATATTGTATGGCACTGCATAGAGGCGGGGAGTTTCTTTTGGTCCAATATTTGCATGTCAAGTCCATGGTGTTTAGACGATGAATTTTGCTCAGTAAGTGGCTGTCCGCGTGTTGTACCTTAAGTAGAAATCTGCTAGATAACATTTGCCTTCGAAGATGTAAAGGAGGCTCCTGTGCTTCTGCTCGCAAAGGTCCGACTGGTGACGATTGCATTGCTCCAAGACATTTCCTGAGAAATTTATTCTGAGTTATATCTAGCACATGAAGGAGATTTTTACTGGCAGAGCCATAGAATATGCTGCCATAATCAAGGATAGATCTAACATATGATCTGAAGAATAATATTGCGATCTTTTGATCGGAGCCCCACCATACCTTGCAGATCATCTGGAAAAAATTGAAGGCTTTCTCACATCTACTGACTACTTGTTCGATATACGGCTTCCATGTGAGCTTTTTGTCAAGGATTACGCCGAGATATTTGACAGAGGTTTCAACTTTGAAGGATAACCCTCCCAGTAGTATGTTCCTCTGTAATGATACATTGTGTCGCGAGAAAACGCAAAAGGATGATTTTTTCAACGATATGTCGAAACCATGTTTCATTAGCCACTGTTTGTAGTGTTCCATTGAAGAATTTAGCGTAGATATACATTGATTAAGTTGACGGTTCTCTATATATACACAAATATCGTCTGCATACTGCACCAGCTGACATGGGGTTTGTACATCATGTAAGTCTGCCGAAAAGATATTGAATAAAATTGGGCTTAAAACTGCGCCCTGTGGGATACCTTCCTGTACTAGTCGTGGTCCAATCTTTCCGCCACTGTCGTTGCGTAGAAAAATATTCCTATCACGGTATAGGTTTGTTACAGTAAAACTAAAGTGAGGTGGGATGCCAAATTTTTCCAGTTTGTTTCGAAGTATGTTTAAATTGATGTTGTCATATGCACCTGTAATGTCTATGAAGATGCCTGCTAAGTAGTTGTTTCGCGTGAAACACATCTGAATGTCGGTGACAATATTCGTAATAGCGTCTGCTGTTCCAACTCCTTTCTTGAAGGCATATTGGTTGTTAGGAAGTGGATGAGATCTAAACCACCATTCCAGGCGATTTTTGATCAATCTTTCAAAAGTCTTCATGACGCAGGATAAAAGAGATATCGGGCGATATGAGTCAGCGCAATTGGGATCCATGTTTGGCTTCAAAATTGGAACTATAACGATGTTTTTCCATTGGCTAATTGTGTCTGCATTCAGCCAAATGTTGTTAAATATATCCAGAAGGAATAGTTTTGCATTAGATGGGAGGTTCACGAGCATTGGATATGTGATATCATCGCAGCCAGGTGATGTGTTTCTGGTATTTTTAACTGCAAGATTTAGTTCCGTCATGTTGAAAGGTCTGCTGAAAAAGTTGTCTTGATGTAAACGTGGGGGAGGTTCGACTTCTGCAGCCACGAAGGACGGAGAGCATTTTCTATGGAAGTCGTCTGCAAAATCAGAATTAGTTGATGCTTTCTTTCCCATGGGTATCCTTCTGATGATTTTAGCTTGTTGCCAGAGATCGGTTGATGACGTATTTTTATTCAACTTAGATATCCATGCTTTCCAGCTATTTTTTGATTTCTGTTTGAAGAGTTTCTTTGTTTCAGCAAATACCTTCTTGCAGTGGACGAAGTTGGCTAAAGAACTGTCCTGTTTGTACGTTGCTAAAGCTGAGGTCCTTTGTGCTATGGCACTTATACACTGTTCATCCCACCAAGGAGGGGGTGGCCGTTTCTTAGCTTTAAATGGCCTTAGTATAGGGATGGAGATCTCGCTAACATCATTGATCTTTTCAATGAGATAATCGTATTTACTTTGAGTGGAGTAAAATTCTGGAGTAGAATCGAAAATATCTTCCAATAAGTCATGATACAAACACCAATTGGCTTTTTTCATATTCCACTTATACTTAGGATAGATTGTGTCATATACTTGGAAAGATAGAGGAATAAACATAAGAATAGGAAAATGGTCCGAACCTAATGTATCAGAAGTAAGTTGCCAATGACTTATTTGTGCAATATCTCGGGAGCAGATTGTAACATCTGGAGCAGTTACCTGCTGATTTGGAGCTACAAGCCTAGTAGGCGAACCATCGTTCATAACGACTAAATTCTTTGATTCGCATATATTTATTAACTGATAACCTATGGAATTATTAAATGAGGATCCCCAGAGATGAGAGTGTGCATTAAAGTCTCCACCAATAATAGAAGATATGCTGGTATTAGAGAAGATTGTGTCCCAATCACCAGCTGTTGAATTGATGTTCGGGGGCCTGTATATAGACAACAAAGTTAAATCAAATGTTTGGTTAATAAGATTTATCCCGCATACAAGTATATCATCATTAAAATTATTCGAAAATGATATTTCACAAAATTTTATACCTTTTTTCACAAAAATGGCTACACCAGCTTTGCCATCAATTCTGTCCCTCCTCACAATATTGTAGCCATGATATCTGATAGTATCGTTTGGCTTGAACCAAGTTTCGCTTACTAGGGCTACGTCAATATCATTTTTTGAAAGGAACATATTCAAACTGTTTCGATTGGACACAGCGGAACGTGCATTCCACTGCATCACCTTTAGCACATTATCGGTATTATTGAAGACGCTAAGAGGAATTTATTAACTTATCTATTATGCAATGTATTTCGTTTTTCAATGTATTATTACTGATTTTCTTAAGATCACCTAAGTTTTCGGATTTGTTTACAAGTTCAAAAAAAATTTTTGAAACTATGTCAACTATTTCTTTTTTTTCTGAAATATTCGACTGAGATCCTACTTGAAGTTACTGGATTAGGAGGTCCTGCACTAAAAAAATGTTTCTCTGTCGGAAAATTTA